GATTAATGTCGGCGAGCATTCCGGCCGCGTCGTCCGGACATCCGCGCATCGCGATCCGAGCATGCATCGGATGTCGTCGTTAAACAGCATCGCTCGCGTTGCTTGCACATTGCGGACGACAAAGGGAAGCTTTCCTTCTAATGATCGCGGTGCCGCGCTCGACTGACGGAGGACACGAGCCGACGGGGTCCCGATACGGACGACACGGACGACAAATCCGCCCTGTTGTCCTCGACATAACACTTGCGCTTCATCCCATCCCGTCTCGTCTCGTCTCGCGGCTCGCCTCTCCACGCCGACCGAGCGCAGACCACGCACGTCGTACGAGGAAGCGGCGGCGGGCCCGTGCGGCTTTTTGCCGCGGGTGTAATTGAGCCTGTCCTCTTGTCTGGCTACCGTCTAAATGAATTACGGGATGAGATGAGAGAGAGAGAGAGAGAGAGAGAGAAAGGATGGAAACGAGGCGGAGAGATGCGCTCGCGTTCGCGAACGCGCCGCTTACGCTTCGCGAAGAGGAGGCCGAAGGCTGCCCGCGCGAATTCCTCGTCGAGTACCGATCGATCGTACCGCGATCGCTTTTTCTCATCCCCGTACATTAATTTCCGGCGTTCCGGAGAGGAAACAATGGAGACCGAGCTGTCGTCGCGAACAAATATGGAGCGCGAGCAATTTGAATGTGCGGCCCTTTTAAGTTTGCTTTGTTCTTGAGCTCATTAAGCTCGAATCACGATTGCGCTTGTTCTCAAATTCCGAAGCTCTTACGTTTAGGACTGGTGCGGACTTCTCGTCTCCATTGCGAAATTGCAACGTGACGACGGCGGACGGCGACGGTGAGACACGCTACACGTTGGCGTTTGTTAAAAACGCTCGAGTGCGCGTACTTTTTGCCGACAGGGCGTAATTGCCGCTGTCTCGACCAACATGCAGACAGGCGAGCTGAGCCTAAGTGAATTATGAGGCGCCGCGGCCTCTGAAGAAGATGCAAACCGCCTGGTACGAACTTTTTTACGAGTAAGAAGTAACTCAATCCTTCGCAACGCGTGCGGCTAAATTGTTCGAGGATTTATTAACAACACCGGAGGTGAACTAATTAAACAGGGTAGAGTATCTCGAAAATTGCATTTAATTCTAATAATTTAATCATATTGAATAATAAATCATATTGATTTATTGATGGATGCAGAATTTTTAATATTAACCAGATAATCTGCGCGAATATGAGCATGTTATTGATTCAACATGTTACATCAATGTACATGTGTAACAGCTTCCAAAAACACGCGCAGCCGCTGATGCTGTTCGTTGAAAGAAATGGTGTAATATTACGTACAGTTCATTCTGTAAGGGACGTGCGGTAAGCTGGTTGTAATTAACGAGAGAACGAGGAAGTGCGCTAAAGAACGCGCCGGGTTTATGAATCGCACAAACTTTTGCTGCGGGATCAAAGATCGGCCGCTGTTAAGCAGTTATTACTGCGGCTTTTGTGAGAGTCTTTTTACTTCTTAAAACATATTTTTTATACACGTATACAATTATATATTTTAGATGTAAAATAAATGAATAAAATATTTACCTAATATACATACAAAATATAAATCATGTATATTGTAAAACAAACGAAATATTTATATACACTGAAAAAAGTACTATGTAAATTTTTAATAAATTGTGTTATTTGTTTAAATAGCACTCTAACTAAATATAAACATATATTTATTTAGTACAAGAATCATTAATTTGATATAATTATTGAATAAATATTTATTTACTGTTAGTAAATGTTAAGATAGTACTGTTGCAAAATTAAAAAATTTAAAAATTAAAAAATGTTTAAAGTAAAATTTTAAAATTAAATCAGGATAGACTCAATAAAAGTAATACATATAGAAATTTATCGCGAATTATTCTAACGCAAGATGCGTTAAAGAAAAATGTATTAGTCAGATAAAAATCTAAATATTTTGGTTAAAACTTTTATGAAAAAAATGTTGCGACTTAATTGATAGAAAGCTAAATATACAATTTTTTTAAAGCTAATATAATTTATAACAGATTAAAATTATCTTAATTTAATAAGATTATTATTATAATAATTTCAATATATATATTCGTTGTAATATTCTTATTTGAATAAATGAAATTGAATTGATAGAGAGATAAAGCTAAATATAATTTGTAACAAGCAAATCAGATAATTTCTACAAATCATTTTTTTTTAAGAAAAAATTGATTTTCAATTTTACCATCCATCTATGTTATTTTGGTTTAAATGTTATTACATTATCACTAAAATACATATGCACAAGTACATAGTTATATGTTTACATATGTATACAATTGTGCGTAGATCAGCCATCTCTGCGGGATTTTTTTTATTGTTACCAATGTTATCAAGAATATCATTGATGCGATATCTTTCACAAATCACGTACAACTTTTACAATACTCATTCGATAATCTCGGTGTTAGATAATGACGATGACGATTATATCAACAAATAGTCAATCGCGTCAAGTGTCTCACATGTCGGTATTGAGACAATCGTGACATCTATAGTAACCAAATGAAAACATATCACGCATTATTTTGAAGTAAGAAAAAGGATAATATCGGTGAGAGAGGTAAAAGTCACAGTGAGTATTTTAAGTATTTCTTGCATCTTCTGTATTAATAATGTATGATCTTATAATGATGATTTATGATCTTATAATATTTGAATATTTTTTTATTTTAGAGAAAACGTGTGTACGCGAGACAATACATTTCTTCTGAATAAGAACATTCTTAACCTCAAAGATATGTAAACATTGCAAAAGTCAACAAAACAGAGAGAAAGTATTTAAATAAAAAATAATTAAAAAATTAATAAATAAAGAAATAACTTGGAGTTTTTTAAAGAAGAAATTCTTAAGATACACAATGCAGATGAAACAAGAAATAGTAACGCTAAATACACCAGTCATTCCTGTTCTGATGGATACCGCAATCGCTATAAGAATAGCTATGGGTGCAAAAATGCCTCACGAAAGGGCGATGATGAATCGTCCGGATTTGTGGCACAAAATAAAAGTTCTTAAAGGTGGCCAGTTTGACAAGGATACAGTTTTGAAAGGTATTTTGAAGGCAGTAGAACCAAACGATTTGATACCAGTAAAGTATCAAGTTTGTGGAGAAGATGCGTATTTTGTGGCGAGAAATTGTGGTCCTGCACTGGAAACGCTGTGCAAAGCAAACATGATCATCAAAAATGCTAAGGGTGTCGCTATCGTTCTCGTAATAACCTTGGGATTTGCTACAATCGAAGATCTGAAAATCCATATACAGCCCCTCCTGTTAACTGTATTGACCAAAAGATACAATCCGAATGAGAAGTCATTAAACCTGGAGAATTTCCATACAGAACCGGATGTGGATAGAACCATCTATTGTCCTTTATCACAACTTAGAACTTCCAATCATGTTTTGAAGCTAGCCAAGACTGCGATAGCCACTTTCGAACACCTAAATTTACAACATAATGAATTGTTTAACATATCTGCGATAGAGAATTCAGAGTTAACATCTATCAAGTATTTGGATCTTAGACACAACAATTTGTTAAACATGAACACATTAGCCCCTCTTAAAAATTTAGAAATCATTAAGCTTTGGCTCGATGGAAATCCGCTTTGTGAAAATTATTCGACTGCAAAGCAGTACGTAGAATCTGCAAAAAGATATTGTCCGCATTTGAAAGAATTAGACGGTGTAAGCATTGTGGAAAACATGCCGTTGATCTACAAAGACTATTTTTCAGACGACAAGACGCAGCATTTCGCGCATACATTTGTTTCTCACTTTTTTTATTTATTCGATCAACTCGACAGAACGGTTTTACGCGGACTTTATCACAAAGACGCAGTTTATTCCTTTAGCTTTGCCATACCTCACAACACTGCGCAAAAAAAAGGCCTTACTCAGTACACGTTTAATAGAAATCTATTAAGAAAAGGCCCCAAAAAAAATACATGTATTTTCTTCGGCCAAGAAGACATTCTAGCAGCTTTTAATAAATTGCCCCGGTCCTATCATGACAAGAGTTCTTTCACTTATGACGTCATGTACGATAACGATAAATGCATAGCCCTCAGTGTCTCAGGATTGTTCAAGAAACTAAGTTCCGGTACGAACATACTATCGTTCTGTAGAACGTTTATCTTAATAGCTTCCTCCGATAATGAATATCATATTTTAAACGATCAGTATCACGTATGGGCAGCACCCAAAAATATAACACCTGATAAAATAGTAGTCAAACATATTTTCGAAAATGAAATGGAGCCCGTTTGCTTCAGTCCGAGTGAAAAAGCGGTATTAATTACCAGGATACGACAGGTCACTACGATGAACAAGGAATGGGCCGAGACTTATCTGACAGCAGCTCAATGGGATATGCGGAAGACGATTTTTGACTTCATGAAAGATTTCAAAAATTCGTCGATACCGGACCATGCGTTCGTTTCATAAAGCTTGCAACGATATTATGTATAGATATAGAATTATTAATATATACACTGAGAAAAAAATGTACTAAATTTTAACAAGTAATTATTTGAATAGTACTAATACAACATTTATTTATGGAAAATAAATATTTGTTAAATAAAATGTAATAATAGGTAATCAAATTAATAGTTTTTGTAATCAAATAAATATACGTTTACATTTAGTAAATATTTAATTGGCACTATTTGAATAAATATTTATTAAAATTTAGTATATTTTTCTCTCAGTGTAGATATAATATATTATATCTATATATTAATCTATATCTATATATAGATATTATATTAATATATAGATATTAATATACGTGCCGGTATTACTTTTACTATCGGCGCGTCTTCTAAACGCTATGTAAATAATAGAAATAATAGTAATATGAAAATACATGTTGTTAAAAGTTTTTACAAATTTTTATTTATCTTTCTCACATTTGCGATTTCTTACAAAAAACGATTTTTTTTCTTTAATAAAAACCGTTAATTGTGCATTTAATTGTACCTTCTATAATATATAGGCATTTACTTCGCGAGATGATGGTATCGTGTATCAATGAGTATATTACAGGCGATGTGATTACTCGCATGGCATTTAAATGGTCTGCTCAGGATGGAAAACGAGATGCTTAGTGACTTCATCCAAAGGTTATGCACTCAAGGACCGTCCGGACGACGTGAATGAAACAAAATCGTGAAGGCAGGCGAGTTTTTTTTACCCTTTCTAATCGTTTTATCATCGTCGCAATATGCGAAAGCTGTTGGAACTCTTCGAGACTTTATTTATTCTCGATTAAGTAAATCACTATGAATGCGGATCTGTAATTGCTCATTAATGATTTAATCTTGAGAGTATAACACTATGAAATATCATTGTCACTACTAAAATAGATGCAATGTAAAGCCGAGAATAAAATTGTCATCTGTTAATTGAATTCTTTATAATAGATTTTATACACGCACTATTCGTTCGTAATTATAAGTTTCAATTACAAAGGCTCGATAACGATGCGCACACTTTATCGCTAACATCGTATAAGAATAATAATTATGGAAATAATTCATGGTCCGAGCGATTGCGGGGGAATTAAAATTTTTATCCCAAGTGAACTTTACGCTATACATGCAAATTTTCGCCGAGAAAATGATACGATCGAATGAGTTAATAGGTTGCAATGAAGACGTGACTTGGTTGTAATCGTGACGTTTGGTGTAAATAATAGCTCTTTTCTCTAATAAAAAGCTCGTTTCATTACACAAATTTTAGACAATGTACTTCATGAATTAAACAGAATTGTAATCACATAACATTGAAGATTACGTATTATTGTATGCCATAAATATGTAATTACAGCGTAAAAAGATCAACCTCGAAGGACAACATAAGATACAGCTTGAACGTAACAGTACAAGTGTTTGCATTGCGTCACATTGCATCACTGCATTACAAGAAAAAATGCAGTAATACCATGGTATCCAAATAAACAATCATAACACGTTTACAGCAGACCGATCGTTATCTTCTCCGGCTCCTGCTGTTGCACAATCTTGTTACTTCCGGATCGTCGGGGCTCAAGAACATTCACGTGTGAATAGAAAAAGGAGACGAAAATAGTTTGTACAATGACACAGCTACGCCGCGGTCACATTTATACATATTAGATTATTTATATATTTATATATTAGACTAATAATTATCAACGTTGTAAGAATCATGATACTTTATAAAAAATATAATTAAAATACAGAATATTTTAGATGCATAAATTTTTGAACCACTCGCACATCTTTCTTCCAACCAGTGTTTATAGAAACACGGAAATGAAACAAAAAAGATTGAGAAATGTTAAACTAAACTGAAGTGAGTTGCTAACAATTAACTGGGAGCCGAGAGAGGGTATACGTATACGAATAACGACATAATAAAATGATTGTTGTCTACTGTGAGACTCAGTACAGTCTCCCACGAGGCTCCTTTGAGAAATCCGCCTTCGTAAAAATAGGGAACTGCTTCTTCCAATACTAATTAACCCTTGTATTAATTAAAACTTTCTTCCCCCGATAGTTCGGTGCTTCCTGCATCAATACCTTGGAAATCGAAAGTATCGACACTTGAAACGTAATCTCGAGCGTAATTTTAAGACTAAAATAATTTCGATATTTTGATAGGCAAAGGGACTTTACATAAAATAAAAAATTGAAATAAAGGAGAAAATCATTATTAATTCTAATGTAAATGTCAATAATTCCTCTATTTATTATTTTTTTAAATACAGTCCAATGAAATAGATTAGGAATTTTTTATTTATGAAAATCGCAAATGCTTTCAAACATTTTAAATGTGTTAAATTGTGGGTCAGAGTATTATAGTGAAGGAGGAACACAGTATGATTAAAAAGATGGCCCATTGAGACATGATCATGTCAGGACGTTCATAAGAGACGTACGCACGATGTAACGTGAAGATGTTCCTCTCAGATAACCCGCAAGAGAAAGTCATATCATGCAGATCCTATGTAAATTTTTCATGTCGCCCCTCTAAAAGGCGTTAGCGAAAACGAAAAGATGCTATACGCTTCTCATCTACGATTAGAGATGACTTTTATTGAGTAACGGAAGTAAGCCAGAAGAGAAAATTATCAGCAAAACTTGGAATGTAATACAAATGCGTTATACAGCGATATTCATTATGTAAAACGAGAAATGTGAAAAGTTAAGTAACATAATATCTAATGGGATTCGCTATTTCGTTACTCGTTTGTTGATGTTAATAAGCGAGGAAAACGTGCGTGTAAATGCCTACAATGTCATGTACAATAGTAATCTAAAGGAAAGATTGAATACATAACGGTAACTTCTAATCAAGCTCTAATCTAGACGCTCTAATCTAAAAGCGAAAATGTGTGAGTGGAACAAATTTTATTTTAACTGAGAACTATAAAAAAATTTCAGATCAATTAACTACACTAGATCAATTAACACTAACAAAAAAGTAAACTTGAATTAATTAATTAATTGCATTATCTAACGATTACTACAATTGCTGCAAATGTTTTGTGAAAGTTTATATTAGCTTCAAATATAAACTTTTATGTCATTCTGAGATTCTCATATCAAACAGTATAAAATGCACATGTTTATTATTATAATTAAATTATAGATGTATCGTGTATTAAAAATATTACTCTTTAAAAAAAAAATGATAGGATTAATGCACTGGCCAAGATATTCTTGTACTAAGATATAGCAACGACACATTCAACGTGAATCTAGCTATTATGACATCCTGAAAGGATTCTTTATGATTAAAATTACAATGGCGACTGCTATAATAAAAGTATGAATTTAAAAAATGTTTATTTAAAGCTCCTGCCTACTCATTGTAGCCATTATGACGTCAGAAACTATAAAAATACATTTAAAAAATTCTTACAAACTATATTAAAATATATGTATTTTTTAATAAAATAATTTGCAATTAATTGAATAGATTTATAATAAGATATCTAAAACTCCCTTTATGTTCTGGTCAATCAATAAATAATTATATATATTTGAAATATATGTAATTATGGTTAATCAGAAAATGAAACAAGTTATACATGTATGATAGCTATCGAATTGAGATAAATATGATTTTATTAGATTCCAAAGTAACAAAATAAAATGAGAGTTTTCAATATATTTTACAAGTGTATTCTATTCAATATAAATACTGTTTTATTGGAAAATATTTCTATTTTTTAATATATTTTGCAAGAAATTTTATTGTTTTCTCGCTTCGGAGACGTTAATTTGTAAATACGTAGTGAGTGGTGAAGAGTCTTATCGTTTATCTACTTGATCGATTTTTTCAACGATGATAGAAGCATTTAACATTATTAGTGCGATATATAATACTTGTATATATTTTACGATTTTTGAACTGGACAACGAGTAAAACTTATTGAGACGAGTCGAACGCGTTGTAAAAATTTTTAATTTTTTTTCTTGCAAACAAAATGACGTAAGGTTACAATAGGGAAATCGGCTCGTATCAAATAATGGAACGAGCTAAGTCACCTTCTCCCAGTCTAAGCGAACGAAATTATCGCGAAGTGAAGAAATCGACCATAAGGTTTAGTAACGTTCACAGACTGGACTGATTCCCACGAATGACGTTATAATAGCTTTTACGAAAGCGGAAAAATCTGTTCTTTTGCGTAGCTTTTGGGAATAAGCGTTTTGTTCAGCTTGCGGAAAAAAAAATGTTACTGTTAAATTATTTTACATAATATATAATATATAATATATATAATTATTTTATATATAAAAATAATTCTCCAATTATTTAGAAAATACATATATTCAATATGTTTCAAGTTTGCAGTAACTTTACGCAGATTCGAGAAATCTCCTTTCGATTTATGTTACACGATCCTATAATCACAATAATAAGTGCTGTACAATTTAATGTTATCCGCGTGATTATTGTGGTCTTTAAGCTTAATCGATTAGAAGCAAATAAAATCGATCTTCATGCCTAAGCGAAATGACGCTGCGTTAGTCTTTACGAAGGGAAATCGAAGACGAGCAATTCTCTAAACAGATAAAACAGTCCGATTGGGAGCAATTGTGCAAGACGGATTTTCGCAAGACTCGTTCGCATTCATGCGAATGTACATGCCGGAGAAGAGCGATACGATTTTACCGGAGATGCATCACGCGTGTGCATCTGTATATGTGCACGCAAATACGCGCATGGGATTTTACGTGAGACGTGAATAATTAAAAAGGGCACGCTTGCGCCATTTTCCCGTTAATGAGTATTCGCAGCTGCATTTCCTTGCAGTTACGAGAGAATTTCTTCTTTCTCTTTTCATCCCTGACTTATCTAATTAAAAAGCTTGCAATCCTACATATATATACTACACAAGTACAATAAAAAAAAATTGTATTTATTCCAAACTTCTCGGCATTGTAATTTTTAATTTCAATCCTTTTACTTTCTTATAATTTTATATTCTCTCACGTTTTTTTATACATATTAATTCCCGCTTTCTCTCCTTTTCTCTCCTTTTCCTTTCTTCTTTTCGATTCAGTTTTCAATGAGAATTAGTTAGTCATTTCGATCTCATTTGACTTGAACTTTTCGGAGAGATAGCTGGCATGTGGGAATCGCTTGTATAATCGGCCGGCACTTCCACGTTTCACGAGCGCGGGTTCGCGTATCACGCACGTAAGAACCGCGCGGCTTCACGCGCGTGCGTTTATGCAACATTCCGGCGCGATTTTGTGTGTGTGTGTGTGTGTGTGTGTGTGTGTGTGTATGCGCGCGCGCCTATATCAACGAAATCATTGTGTCGATGTGTTCGTAGCAATGTGCCCGGGGCATCAGGCCTGCGACAGTGTCGTGAGTGAAAGTTATGCCGGCTTCTCTAGGGTTCATGTGTAGCATCAGCATGACCTACGATTATAAATCGTCTTCGAGTTTGTGGCCTAGACGGCTGAAACCATTTCCTGTTCTAAAAAGGAAACCGAATTCTGCTGGTTAAAGGATCGGATCTAACGATCATTTAATTACTACAATCGCAAGAGCAGATTTCGAAGATTTCGCAACTATAAAAAAAAAAGAGAGATATCATATTGAAGCAGATGAATGATATTTCACAATTAGCTAACGATCTCGTCGATTTTTATTTTACTCGATTATTTTACTCGACATCTATTATTTTTTCTTCTTTACAAGAAGAGTTCTAAAAGCGAGTTCTAAATCGGAATTATGTAAATCGAATGGATTATTATTTATGTGAAAGGATACGAGCGCCCGCATTGCGCGCGAGAGAGTTAATTTTATCATAGAGAGGCGTATTGACAAAGGAAAAGTGATGATTCACGGTATGATATTCAAACAGAATTTCCTTTCCGGATATAACATATTGTACGTTACGTATATGCAGAATTAATGCGCATCTCTATAACGTGAAGAATAAATAATTTCGCAATGTCTCTTCTTCTTTAAGACTTAAATTGTGCAGATGGCCTTTCCAATAATAATATAAAATATTTATCGACATGACCGTTAATTATAAAACTGTTAATAACAAAACTTTGCCTGGCGGCAAAAATCACGTAAAGAAAATATGCACGTATCCAAGAATGTATATAGACGTTGGAAAGGAGCACACAAGTAGGAAACGAGATATATGGTCGTCACTTCAGAACTATCAAACGGGATTCTACGTTATATAAGTGAGAGGCGCGTATCGCGGTGATGAGTGGATAATTTTCTTTTTCGCACGGAGTTGCACCGGAGTATGCACAGTATGTCACAATAACCACGAGCAGCCCCTTCGCCGTGTAATTAAGATCTCGAGTACCTGCTTAATTCGCCACAAATACGTTAATTACGTCGACGGGAACAACCAGTGCATTATGCTCTCTCTCTGTGGAGAAAGAGATTATTTAAATTAATTAGTAGTATGAAAATTAGTGATATGAAGATATTTCTCGATCGCGACAGAAAAATACAAAACAATTCGTGATCATGCATATTTTTTAATTTTATACACACGTTTAAGAGCGCATCTATCTACAAATATTGAAAACTTAAATATTGAAAATTAAAAGAAATGTCTCATGTAAAATGTCATCATCCTCCGTATCATAATCACATATATATTATTTTAATGACGTTTGCGCAAAACAATTCATTAAAACAATGATACGTGATGTTTGAAATGCCTGACATATATTTTAATCTTTTAAGCAACGCATGTATTGTGTTTATAGTTGACTTTACAATATAATATATTGCTTGAAAAAAATGACACAACTAAAAAATTCGCACGTTTTGAGATAATAAAAGAAATCAACTTTAAAGATGTATGTTTTTTGTTGGAAAAATAATACATTAATTCTTCCAAT